TAATGTGATGCTGCGGATGATGTCCCAGACTTGGGGCTTCATAGGGAGGAACCATCCAGCTGCCAGGGAGGTCAGTGTGGGTATTAACCCCAGATAAACTGATGATGGGCAGCAATAAATACTTGGTGGTTGTGTCTACTGCCGTTCTTCCCCAGCTCCTGCTGACAGAGCACCGAGAGCCAGAGGTGCATCCAGCCTGAGGGCTCCATCACCCATGACGGAGCTGTCCCTGGGCATCTGCCTGACTCAGAGCTGCCTCAGCTGTCCCAGGCGCTTGCTCAGGGTGCTGGCTGTGGCCCACAGATGGGAATTACAGCAGGGAGGGCTTGCTCGGGGCAGTACTGTTTGGTGATGGCAGTGGACTGAAACACCATGCCCAGAGCGATGCTGCACCCCTGTCAGGGTGGGGGTTGGTGGTGGTCACCAGATATTTCCAGATTCTGGAAATGTATCCACAGGTGGAGGGGTGTCCCCTCCTTCAGGGTGGTTGCATGAGGCTTGGCTCGTTGGAACACACCTCTGAGATGGCACAGAGGTGGAGGGATCCAGGGATCCCAGGTTCCCCAAGGGAACAGCAGGGATCCAGGTGCCCCAAGGGAATCAGGGACTCTGGAAAAAAAGCATATAAAAACTGAAAAATATGTATAAATAGTTGATGGGAGGATATCAAGAGGACAGAGCCCAGGGCAGGATTACATGCAACTGGCACAGTCTGAACACAGGAAACCACCTCTTGACTGTGAGAGTGTTTGGACATGGGAATAGGCTGTAGAGGCTCTGTCCTAGGCCACCAGGTTGCGGGGGACAGTACGGGGAGCAGGACAGGCCCCTGTGCTTTACCTGGGGACCTGCGTGTCACTGGCTCCTCCATCTGCTGCAGGAGACCATCCAGCAGCTTGACAGTGAGCTGAGAAACAGCAAGTGGGAGATGGCAGCCCAGCTCCGGGAGTACCAGGATCTGCTCAACGTCAAAATGGCCTTGGACATTGAAATCGCTGCCTACAGGTACACAGTGGGCAAGGGGGAAGGAAGGACTCTCAGCCATGGTGTTTCCCTCAGGATCGTTGTGGTCCCGTGCCCAGAAACAGCCTCGTCCAGTCCTTGCTAACACCCTGCTGTGCAAGGGTGGGGGACAACAGTGCCCATAGGAGCAGGGCAAGGAGGGAGATGAAGATGCAGGACATGGCTGACAGCTACGGCTGGGGCCCTTGGTCATGGGAGGAGGTGAGAGCTGGGTGAGATGCATTCGCTAATGTCCCTGCTCTGGTCTCTTCCTGGCAGAAAGCTCTTAGAAGGGGAGGAATATCGGATTGAGTCTGGTTTTGGGATGATCTCCTTCCCAGAGGTGCCCCCCAAGGCTCCCAGCATCACCACCAACATCAAAGTGAAGAGTGAGGAGAAAGTCAAGGTGGTGGAAAAATCAGAGAAGGAGACTGTGATTGTGGAAGAACAGACAGAGGAAATCCAGGTGACTGAGGAGGTCACAGAGGAGGAAGAGGCTGAGAAGGAGGCTGAAGAGGAGAAGGAAGAGGAGAAAGCTGAGGCAGAAGAAGAGGAGGCCAAGGCTCCTGAAAAGGAGGAGGCAAAGAGCCCAGCTGTGAAGTCCCCAGAGAAAGCTGAATCTCCCACAAAGGAGGAAGCCAAGAGTCCATCTATCAAATCCCCTGAGAAACCTGTGTCTCCCACAGAGGAGGAAGCAAAGAGTCCATCTATCAAATCCCCTGAGAAACCTGTATCTCCCACAAAGGAGGAAGCCAAGAGTCCATCTATCAAATCCCCTGAGAAACCTGCAACCCCTTCAAAGCAGGAGGCCAAGATCCCAGCCATCAAATCACCTGAGAAACCCACAACCCCTTCAAAGGAGGAGGCCAAGATCCCGGCTATCAAATCACCTGAGAAACCCACAACCCCTTCAAAGGAGGAGGCAAAGACCCCAACCATCAAATCACCTGAGAAACCTGCAACCCCTTCAAAAGAAGAGGCTAAGATTCCAGCCATCAAATCACCTGAGAAACCCGCAACCCCTTCAAAGGAGGAGGCCAAGATCCCAACCATCAAATCGCCTGAGAAACCTGCAACCCCTTCAAAGGAAGAGGCCAAAACCCCAACTGTGAAGTCCCCTGAGAAACCTGCAACTCCTTCAAAGGAGGAGGCCAAGATTCCAGCCATCAAATCACCTGAGAAACCCGCAACCCCTTCAAAGGAAGAGGCCAAGATCCTGGCCATCAAGTCCCCAGAGAAACCCGCAACCCCTTCAAAGGAGGAGGCCAAGGTCCCAGCCATCAAGTCCCCAGAGAAACCCGCAACCCCCTCAAAGGAGGAGGCCAAGATCCCAGAAAAGATCAAATCTCCTGTGAAGGAGGAGGCCAAGACTTCTGAGAAGGAAGCAGCCCCAGCCAAGGAGCCTGTTCCTTCTCCTCCAAAGGAGGTGAAAGCCCCGGTGAAAGAGCAGCAGCCCAAGGAGGAGACGGCTCCATCCAAGCCCCGAGCTGAAGAAGGCAGGAAAGAGGCGACCCCGCAGGCTGCTCCAGCCAAGGCAGAGGAGAAGCCTAAAGAGAAAGTGACACCAGGAAAGGAGCCCATTAAACCCACACAGGAAGGGAAGGCTGAGAAGGAAGCTCAGCTGAAGCCTCCGCAGGAACCCAGCAAGGCAGCCGAGAAGCCAAAGGCCGAGGAGAAGAAGGAGGAACCAAAAAAGGAGAAAGCGGAGCCCAAAAAGGAGTTGGAGGAGAAACCCAAAGTTGAAGCTAAACCCAAAGATGAGCCCAAAGCTGGCAAAGAGTCCACCAAGGCCGAGAGCACAGCCAGCGCCGGTGCCAAGGAGGGCAAAGCCCCAGAGCAGGTGGCTGCGCCGGGCAAGAGGAGCGAGAAGTGAGCGGAGGCTGGAGTAGCTCGGCCACCCTCCAAGGGCCGGAGAGGCACCGCGCGCCCCGCCGGGACTCGAGCAACATGTTCGTGCAAGAGACGCGGCCCCCAGCTGCCCTCCTCCGGGCAGCATCCCGATTGCTTCTGTAGCCGAACGCGACACACGCAGAGCGCCACATTTAAACACTTGAAGTATAACGGCGGCGCCGGCCCCACTGGGAGCCGGCTGCCCTTCTCCAATAAGTGCATTTATTTAAGGTACGTGCAGCGAGGCAGGGCCGCGCATGCCAGAGGCTCGCGGAGCCCCAGGGCCTGTCCCCACGGCGGGGCTGTCCCCATCGCACGGTGACACAGGCTGGGGCTGGCTTGGGTGGACCGGGTTGGCACAGCGCAGAGATGCTCCCACATCACGATGTGCACGAGGAGGCTTGAGTCCACTCTCAGTTGCTTATGTGCAATAACCCAATAAAGTGCTTAAAGAGACGACCGGGCTTGTGCTGTCCTTGTTGCTGCAGGGGGAGGCATGGTGTGGTTGGGCGTCCTGGGAGGTTTGGGGCTGGGCCACGCACAAGAAAGACGTCATGGCACAGCCACCCTCACGGGGAGCAAAGCTGTGCCCGAGCGGCCCGTCACCCCCGCAGGCTGTGCCGCCATCATGCTGCCAAGCTCCAGCCTCCTTGGCACCCACTGGGGGCTCTCCAGAAAGAAATGGCACCAGAACCAACGTTGAGCGCGGCCCGGGGTTGGGAGCGGAGCGTGGCCCGCCTTGCCCCCCGCACAGTGGCTGCCGCCTCCTTCTCTCTTTGCAGCAGGGATCCCCAGGCCATCAGGGCCACGTTAACCCCAGTGCTGCAGCGCGGGCCGGGGCCATGAGCCAGGGCCAGCGACGGGGGTTGAGTCCAATTGAGGCAAGGCAGGAGGGACAAGGAGCCTGTGGGTCACCAAGCCCCAGGAGACCCGCAGGCCTGGGGGTCCAGGCCAGTCCCTGCGGCTCCTGGCACAGGAAGCCGGTCCCTCCTGCGCCATGGAGGGGAGGCGCTCAGACGAGGGAGAGCCCCAAGCAGGGCAAGGCGGGCACTGGGGGCACCCAGGGCTCCCCTCACTGTTTTGGGCCGTTTGGCGCCATTTGTGCCAAGGCAACTACGAGGATGAGAAGAGGCACCGACTGCAGTGCCAGCTCGACGCTATTTTAGCCTCCTGGTCCGTGGTTACAGAGCGGCCGCAGCGGTTGGAGGGGGTGCCAGGACGCAGCAGAACGGGCACCAGCCCGAGAGCCAGGAGGACAGCGCTAGGGACAGGGCACCACAGCCTCGCACAGAGCGGGCGAGGGGGCAGAGGGTCCGGGCAGCCCTGCTCAGTGCAAGCGTCGCCAGCGCAGGACCCTCTCCCACGGCGCAGGGCAGGTTTCCAGCCCTGGGATGAGAAGGGTCCGGGCAGCCTTGCAGGGACAGCGCTGGCAACCCAGGGACAGTGACAGACACAAGGACAAGGGAGAGTCCCCGGCACCCCAGCACAGCCCAGGCTGGCTGCACACACGGCACACAGACGCTTTTCTCTCTTCAGTCCAACATTTAATCCATTTCGATACAAAACCCGCAACCCAACCTCAGGAAAATAACCAACAGAGGAGGATGGGGCGACTCCGCCTCCCTCCGCCCGGACAAGGCCCAGACCCAGAGCAGAGCCCAGGGCCATCAGCGATGGCTGAAGAAACCTTGGGGGTAGTTGAACTTGAAGGGCTTCATGCGGGTGGGCCCCCTAGGAGGAAGCAGAAGGGAGCTCAGCACCCACTGCCCAATCCTGCCCGGCAGCAGGACGGAGCTGCTGCAGCACCAGGGCCTCCTGCGGGCACCGTCACCCGCCCGCGGGAGGGCTGGGGGCAGCAGCCCGGGGCGCCCCGGTGCCCGCTCCCACCTGACGAGGCGCAGACACATCTTCTCCTGTGGGAACTCCTTAGGCCCCTCCACGCTGGGATCATGCGACTCGGTCTCCAGGTAGACGTCGAGCACCATGCAGAGGCGCTGGAGCTGGTTTGTGAGCAGCTGGTAGCCGGGCTTGGGCCCCCACAGCTCCGAGTAGCTCACGTTCACCTCGCTCTCCATGGCCTGCGTGGGCAGCGGCGTCAGCACGAGCAGCCCCAGCTCCGCTCCCAGGCCTGGATCCAGCCCTGAGGCCACGGAGCGATACGCAGCCCCCGTGGCCACTCAAACACAAGACCCGGCCACTGCGCCGGCCCTGCGCCCACGAAGCGAAGCCGCGGGCTCACCCGGATGTTGTCGTCGGTGCCGCCGGTGCGCTCGCCCTTCCAGTTGAGGCACAGGCTGAAGATGGGTGGCAGCGTGGAGTAGCCGGGGTTGAGCACCACGGCGGCCTGCAGCTTGGCTGGGCGCAGGGGGAAATGTCACACACAGTCCCAGGGACACCCCCAGCAGGGCAGGGACCATCCGCGATGGCAGCACGGAGCGGGCTGGGAGGCCACACCCACACAGGGGGCACTAGACTTCGCTGGCTGCTGGGGCCCTGCCATGTCCTGCATCCCTTGGGCACAGCCACCAACCACTGGCGTCCCTCTGGTTTCCAAGCGCGGAGAAGCCAAAGGATGGGAACGGCGGGGGGAAAGGCAGGCGCCTACCTGTTCCGCGCTCGATGAGCGCCATGTAGTAGAGGTGAGTGTCCTCGGCCAGGCCGGCCTCCAGCACGTCCTTGGTGTAGGGCAGCTCCCGCACGGGGCGGGTGAGGGGGGACGGGGCGGCGGGCGGGGACCGCGGCGGGGGGCCACGCACTGCGGGGGGACACACGCACCGCGTACTCCTCGAAGGGGATGGCCGCCCACTTCACCAGCCGCGAGACGATCTTGGACGGGAAGAGGTGCTGGCACTCGCTGGACACGGGCACCACGCCGTGCTCTGCAACGCAGTGCGGGTGCTGTGAGCGGGCGAGGGCTGGCGCTGGGCGCTGCCACCCTCACGCCAGGGACAACACACGGCCTGGGGACGCTCCAGGGGCTGCACACCCTTGGCCTGGAGACATGAGCGTCCCCCAGCACAGTCTGCGTGCCCAGGTGGCAGTGATCAGTCATGGGTGTCACCCCGCAGTGCATGGCCGTGGGGCCCTGCCTGGCCTGCTCGTGGCACCCAGCTCTTCTGGGGACACCTCAGCTGCCACGGGGGCCGGAATTGGTACCTGGCCCCGAGCTCACGTGCTGGTCCAGGGCAGCCTCAATCACGCTGCTGGGCAGCAAGGAGGAACATCCCCAGCAACATCCTCAACACCCTGCGCCACCACCAGGGAACCGGGGACAGCCAGCAGGGCTGACAGAGGCACTGCCCACTTTGGTGGCGTGTGGGCCCAGGCTGGACACACAGGCCTAGAGGGAGGCGTGGAGGACCCCGAACACCCCTGTGCCCGCACGCAAGAAGTGAAGGGGACAGAGGCATCTGTGACACCCGAGGGCTCCTCAGCCCCACCGTCTGCACCAGAGGCCACCCGGGCTGCCCAGCTGTGCCCAGGGAGCCGGGCACTCACCCAGCGACGCGAACTGCTTGTGCAGGGCCAGGCGCGACTGCAGCCTCGTGCGCAGCAGCTTCACCGTCATCTCCATGTGGCTGGCGCTCAGCGAGTTGTCCGCGGGCACTGTGTGCTGTGGGCACGCCGGGCTGTCACCAGCTGGACCTCCCAGGCCCTCCGTGTGGCACTGCCCTGAGCCAGCTGCTGGTGACAGTGGGACAGGGCCCAGGCTGCCGTGCACAGGAGGTAAAAAGCAGCAGCACAAACCAACCGCTCTGACCACCCCAGACACCTAGTACTGCTGTGGCCCGGCCAAGGTCACCTGCCGGGATTGGGGAGATCTAACCGTCCCCAGCCCCTCCAGGCACCCAGGCCAACCCCAGCAGGTGGGAAACGTGAGGGGAGGCCGCGCACGGCACCTGAGGCTGCTCCTTGGGGAAGTGGAGGCCGCCCAGCTTCTGCACCCACACGTAGGGGTGCCCCAGCTCCGTCACGTAGTCGCTCAAGGTGACGATGCTGTGGGAGCAGAGGGGAAGGCTTAGGGTAGCTGTGACTGTGGCGGCACCGCACTGCTCCCCGTGGCCGCCCGGGGGCCACCGAACGGCCCCCCCCCGTGTGGAGAAGGGCAGCCAAGAGCTGGGCCCAGGGGCTGTGAGCCCCAAGCCCCACAGCCGCCCTGCACAAGGACAACCCAGACCCACAGAGGGACAGTGACGCCCGAACGGCGACACGACCTACTCACCCCACTTTATCGAACTGGAACTGGTTGGCCGGGTTGGGCGTTTTCTTCCCGTGGTCTCCCGGGTACAGGCAGCTCAGGAGGGAATCTGGAGAGAGCAGGTCTCTGGCAGGAGGAGGGAAGAGGAGGTTAATCATTCATTAGCCTCTGTGCCTCTCTGCAGCAACCATAAACAGGCTCCAAGTCTGGAAAACCAGATTATGCTTCACAAATAAGCCGGAAAGAAATCCATCTTCTCCCTGGCTGTAAGGAAGTTAGAGACCGCAAGGCACCATGTTCCCAGGGAACTGCCCACAGACCTCAGCGTGATTAAGATCACGGCAGTAATTCTAGAACTGACTAATGACACGCTGGGCGTGCAGAAAACGGACCTCACGTGCACAGGGCCTGGTCCAGTTGCCATTTACTGGCCAACAAGCTAGAGCTCCAGCTCAAGGCCCAGAGCGGCTGGACACCTGCCTGCCCAGGGACTTATGGGGGCCCACAGCAAAGAGAAGCCCAGAGGGAAGGGGAGGCCCTGCCTGGGCCTCACTTTGCCAACAGGGTCCCTTTGGAGCTGGGCCTCCCGCGGAGGCTAGCAGGACACAAGGGCTTTCACACGAGCTCCGGGCGCAGGACCCGGCCCGTGACGCAGTGCGGGGCTCCCCTCACCCGGCACTGCTGGGGGTCGTCAGCTCCACGGCGGTGGTCACCTTGGCCTTCACTGTCATGACGTTGAGGTTCATCAGGTAGTAGAAGGTCAGGTGGAGCACGTTCTCATCTGT